GTAGCAAAGTCAATGGATGAAGGATTAGTGGATGGAAGCTCAATCAATGGAGGTTGTTTTGAAACAAAAAATCATCAACGTTATGGTGCTGGAAGGCAGAGAGTTGGAGAGTAAGAGGTTACTGTCAGAGAGGCGCTGCGTGGAACTGAGATCTGAGGGGACAGAAGCTGTTGGTATTAGCAGGGTCTAGCCCTGGTGTACAGTTCATAATATGTACCTCAAAGTGTTGGAAAGAGCAAATGAGGTATTTTCATGAAGCATAATGTTAACCATGGAGATGCAACGCCCCACTCAGATCACTCTTTAAGAGAGCCCACAGGAAGAAACATGTTGACTGATAGCCTACAACTGCTGACCCTGTGAATTCTGAGGACACACACCAGTCTTCTCCCAACCAGTGACTGAGCAGAGCAGGAGTGTCAGTGTTGGCTGTTCCTGGGCATCTCAAGTCTTGTCCTGCTTCATCAGCTCACCTTATGTTTTCTAAAAACTGTTCTAGGGTCTGAGGGCCTCCACCTCCAGTGCTTCCTTTCTGCTCTGCTTTCACAGATGTCAGATCAGCATGGTCGTAAAAGGGTAGGTCTCGGTTACACCTTCTTCCTCTTGTTTTCTCCAGAGGCATTTTCCCCAATTAGTGTCTTACACATTGAATCCCATCTGCTTCTTGTAGGATCCAAAGCTCACACAACATTGACAATAGAGCTTGACACATAATGAGTGCTGAGTATTAATCTATTATATTATCTATATAATATACATCTATTGCTAATAGATCCATACATCATGCACATATGCCTTTCATAATCGTATTCTAGTGAACTTTTTAGGAAAATTCTGTTTTTGTTTTTCTCTCTTAGCTGAACCACAGTGAAAAATATGTTCCCCACCTAGCTAGAGGGGAAAAAAATGAGTCCTGCTCCCATGATCATCAAAGAAATGGCAACATCTGACTTGGCTGATGACCCAGAAGAGGCGATGGAGGCAGGCAAAGGGAAAAATGGGAACTGAGCAGCTGAGAGAGACAGAGAGAGAGAGAGGGAACAGCTGCTGGGTTACTCCCTTTCTGATATCCTCTCATCAAAACATTTTAACTCATGTGGCAGAAATTGCACCCTCTTTTTAATTGTCTGGCATCTGAATCAACTTTACATGACTCATCCTTGAGGAGGAGGAAGAGAGAGAACACAGCAGAGCTTCTGGACCCGAACTGTCTCTTCCCTTTTCAAATGCAAAAGTGATATTCACCCCCAGAATTAATCACCATAGGCAAGATCTAGAAAAGACCTTTTATTGGTTGGTTGTCATTCTGAGATACCAGTAACTCTGATTTCAATGAAAGTGACATTTTAAAAGTAAATAAACGGGCCAGACTCCCAGCATTAGATGTTCATTCATCCCACAGACGTCCTGAGCACCCTCTCCAATCCAGACATTACTAGGTGTCTGAAATAAAATAGCAACTCAAAAAGAGCAAGTCACAGAGTGGGCTTCTGACTTGGCAGTTAAGACATTAGGTGTCTGTGTTCCACATAGGAGTGCCTGGGTTCAATATCCGACTCTGGCTCCTGCATCCAGCTTTCTGTCAATGAAGACACTTGGGGCAGTGGTGATGGCCTACGTAATCGGGGTCCCTGCCATCCACAGGGGAGACCCAGATTAAGTTACCTGCTCCTGGCTTTGGCCTGGCCCAGTTCTGGATGTTGCAGGCGTTTTGGGAATGAACCAGTTATCTATCCCCTTTTCTCCCCTTCTCAAATAAATAAAAAGAGCCAGGTCCTGCCTTATGAAGTTTTAATATCAAAATCCAGGCATGCAGGCAAGGCTGCAGAACAAACATTAAAGCTAGACATGATTTCACAAAGATCAAATTGGTTATGGACTCCATTTTAATAGCTTTTTTCCCTTAAAGGGGACATACAGCTAATAAATAGTAGAGCCTAGATTCAAGTCAGATTCCACAGGCATTCTCAGAGACCATTCTTGATCAAAAAAAAAATAAATAAAAACCATCCACACACACTAACTACAGCAGGATCTTTTGAGAATTAGGGAGACTTATCTGTAAAATGAATAATATTTTGTTACATGTGTCATCATCCCCTTTTCTTTTACTCATCAAAAGATTTGACTCATGGATTTTCTGAAAGAGAGCACCACCACAGTCCATGGAAGCCAGAAATAAATAAATGACCAAGTGAACCACGTGAACCTTTATACATCATGAGTGGAAGTCACCAATTTACACTCAACAGCCTAAATTAACAATTAAATTCATACAGGTAAAAATTCAGCTTTCATCCTTTAATTTTTTTTCATCCTTTAATTTTTTTCCTAAGGCGAACTGCCAGTTACATATTTAAAATCAGAATACACATGCAGCTGGCTGAGAAACTGGCTAAACTACCAATCAGAGAAGTTGAATTAGTCAAAAAAAGAAAAGCAGTAAAGTTTATAGCATTGAATGACAGCTTGGAGGTTACCTGATTCAATCCTTGTCTCCCAGGTTAAACCCACATATGCACATGTGTGCACATATACACAAAGCCTAAGCTGAGTCCCTGAGCAATTCATCTTCACACACACGTGCACACACAAAGTATAAACTGAGTCCCTGAACAATTATGTGGTAAACTCTGTGCAGAACCAAAATCTCTATTTGTTGACAACATGATGTCTTTTGAAGAGTGAAAAGCCGAAATGGTGTACCTGTGAGAATCCCATCCCAACACCACTATTTCGTAAAGCTTCATCTTCATATTTTACTTTCCCTGCTCAAACGCTTTCAATCCCTCTCCATTACTTAGGAAATAACAAGATCTCTAGCACAGCATTCCAAGCCTTCCATCATCTGGTACTGAGCTTTTTTTCTCCATTCTCTCTTTTATTTCCCTTTAAAGCAAATCTTATTCCAACTCCAGGACTTGCTCTGTGTGCATGCTCTGAGTTTCCTGCCCCTCTTTTCTCTGGTTGGTCCTTCCCTCTAGCATCTCCATCCTGAGTGTTCAAATCAAAACTCACTGAAAACCCAGCTCAAAGACCAGCAAAACCTTTCTAGATCTTGAAAAATTCCCAACTAGAAGCTGTCTCTAAGCTTTTCTCTCCCACATTTTATTACGTCTGCGTGCAATTCAACTTTTCCCACTGAGCTGTCAGCCTCGCAGGATGGGAGCAGCCTGACTTCTCTCTTCACTGCTACAAGAGTGTGTTGCCCTGAAATATATTAAACTATTAAAGCAATCGATACATGAGAACAATGCATCCTTAAAAAGTGTGTGTTTTTAAAATCAACCAAAGATTCTAATTATAATTTGCTTTTGTTTTGTGGATTTGGTTTTTGGTTTTTTGTTTTGGTGAGATAGCACTGTTTTTTTTATTGTTTTTTTTTTTTTTTTTTTTTGACAGGCAGATTTACATAGTGAGAGAGAGTGAGAGAGACAGAGAGAAAGGTTTTCCTTTCTATTCATTCACCCCCCAAATGGCCGCTATGGCTGGCGCTGCGCCGATCCGAAGCCAGGAGCCAGGTGCTTCTCCTGGTCTCCCATACGAGTACAGGGCCCAAGCACTTGGGCCATCCTCCACTGCCCTCCCAGGCCACAGCAGAGAGATGGACTGGAAGAGGAGAACCGGGACAGAACCGGTGCCCCAATGGGGACTAGAACCCGGGATACCTGCGCCGCAGGCGGAGGATTAGCCTAGTGAGCCGCGGTGCCAGCCGATAGCACTGGGATTTTAAAAATAACTTTTCGTTTTTAAGATAATAAAGCATAATGATTAAGGAAGACTGCTTTTTTTTTTTTTTTTTTGACAGGCAGAGTGGACAGTGAGAGAGACAGTGAGGAGAAAGGTCTTCCTTTACCATTGGTTCACCCTCCAATGACCGCTGTGGCCAGCGTGCTGCCGCCGGCGCACCACGCTGATCCGAAGCCAGGAGCCAGGTGCTTCCTCCTGGTCTCCCATGCGGGTGCAGGGCCCAAGCACTTGGGCCATCCTCCACTGCCCTCCCTGGCCACAGCAGAGAGCTGGCCTGGAAGAGGGGCAACCGGGACAGAATCTGGTGCCCCGACCAGGACTAGAATCCGTTGTGCCGGCACCGCAGGCGGAGGATTAGCCTAGTGAGCCGCGGCACCGGCTGGAAGACTGCTTTTAAAAATAGTTGAAATATGCTAATTATTTTACTTATATAACATATACAGAACTGCCTGTAAACTTTCCTTCCAATCTCTATAAAACACTGGTTTCAAAAGTCAAAGACTTTCTTACATTTTATTTGTTTGCTTGAGAGAGAGGGAGCACTTTTGTCAGCTGGCTCACTCCCCAAATACAAGAACCAGGGCCAGGAGCTGGGACTGTGAATCAGGTCTCCCATGTGGGTACCAGGAACTCAATGTCTTGAGCCATGATTGTTGCCACCAGGGTCTGCAGTAGCAGGAAACCAGACTCAGGGACTGGAGCCAGGAATCAAACCCAGATACTCTAACATGGGACATGGGCCTTTTAACTGCTAGGCTAAACACCTGCTCTGAAAGAAAAGATCTTGAGAAGTCATCTCATTTATCTCCCCCTCCCAGCCATATATAAAATCTCTTGGGAAAATAATAACATCCTATTTTAAGTACTTTCTAAGATACATTACACAGAATCCCTGGTAATTCACTTCAACCTCTGTTTATCTGCCTGTTACAATGTTACTTCATAGTAAGTTAAACTGAGTTACTTGTGCTGTTATTTCATTTTGTCTCGAGAGGCAGTATAGCACAGTGGTTAAGACACAAGGCATCTGCATTCAGACTTCCTTTTAACTATGGACAAGTTATTTAATATTTCAGTTTTCTCCTCTGTAAAGTGGGAATAACAATAGTACTTATTTATAGAATTTTTGCAAGGACTCGATTAAATCCATATATGTATACTTTGAGATTTTTGGAAGACTGACTCGACAGATAAATTATACCAGTTTTTACTTGGAGAAACACTCTTTTGTCATTAACCAAACTACTTACCACTCTTTCGAATTCTTTCCTCCAGTAGGTCAGTATGTCCAACTGGAAGTTTCTTATTGAAAATCTCAGCTGAACGGAGGAACATAGCTTCAACCGCAGACCCCTTCAGTAAAGCAATCTGATCTTCATGGTCCAAGGTCTGAAACCCTGGAGAGGTGATGATCAAGTCAGAATCAAGGAATATCATACAGGTATAGTAGTGTTTCATCATCACCATTAATAAAACATTTCCATAAGGAAATTTTGTGATGTTTATTCTACTATGGAGTTGTCAAATTTAGTCAATAAATATCTATTATATTCCCCCAAATAGAAGCTTTTATGATCACTGAATAGGATTTATTGAACAAGTTGGATAAAAGGAGATATCAGGACTACACCCAATACATTTATTACAGCAGAGACAGACTGATTGAGATGAAGTAACCTGCAGAAGGCAGGAGCAGGCAGACTCTCACTGAGCCATATTTCAGTCACACCTGGTGTGATAGAAGCACATTTGCAGGATGCAAGAATCTGCAAGCCAGAAAAATCTTCATGTGCATCCAGAGGTTTACAAGAACATCTGACTGACTCAGGAGTCCTTAGCAATCTGGAGAATGACTAACATCCCCACTCACCCCCACCCCCTAATACAATAAGCAATGAAGGTCACTTTGAAGTATGAGGTAAGCACAAGCCTGCCCTACACAGGAGAGGGAAATCAGAAAAACACGGGAAGAATTGCCACCCTAAGGAAACCGGACAAAGTCTTCTCCACCTACATGACACAGCCCCTAAGGGCATCTCTGACTTCATTTCCTACTCCTTCTTCCACTCACTGTTTGTGCTTCTCCCACATGAGCACGCTTTTGCCTCAGGGATGAAGCCTCTTCCCACATAACCCCAGACCTCACTCCTGCACTGCAGTCCTGTCTCTGCCCGGCTTTCTCTACCTAAAATAGTATTTGCTGGCACTCTCTAGCACCTACCTGCTGTGTTTTCATTCACAGAACTTACCAGTATCCTACTTGATGTTACAGACGTATACTGTAATTGCCTGTCATTCTACTGGAATGTGAACTCGGGGACAGAAGCTTTGTCCATTTTGTTTACTTTGACTATCCAGCCCCTGGTACATAATAGACACCCAAGAAATGTTTCTTGGATAATTGGATGATGTACTGAATAAATAAATGTGTGAGAAACAAGACGCAAGCTGGTGTGCATGCTGAAATTCACACTAATATGAATACACATAAATAATGCCATTTGGGTTTCATTGGCTTAGAAAATTGGTAAATAATAGGGCTGGTGCTGTGATAAAGCCCTGGCCTGCAGTGTCAGGATCCTATATGGGCACCAGTTCAAATCCCGGCTGCTCCACTTCCAATTCAGCTCCCTGCTAATGTGCCTGAGAAAGCAGTGGAGGATGGCCCAGTTCCTTAGGCCCCTGCACCCACATTGGAGCTCCTGGCTCCTGGCTTTGGATCAGCTCAGCTCCAGCCATTGTGGGCAATGGAGAGTGAACCAGCAGATAGAAGACACACACACACTCTCTTTTTCTCTTTTTCTCACTATCTTTCAAATAAATAAAATAGATCTTAAAAAAAAAAGAAAATTGGTAAATAGCAACACAGGTTGAAGAGGACTATGCAAAGGATTAAGTATCATTACCCTAGGGCACTGTGGCATAGTGGGTTAAGTAGCAGCATGGGATTGAGTACCACCTCTACTATTTTTTTTAAAGATTTATTTATTTATTTAAAAGGAAGAGTAACACACAGAGAGAAGAGACAGAGGGAGAGGTCTTCCTCTGCTGGTTCAATCCACAAATGGCCTCAACAGCCAGAGCTGGGACAATCTGAAGCCAGGAGCCAAGAAATTTTTCTGGGTCTCCCATGCAGGTGCAGGGGCCCAAGCACTTGGACCATCTTCCACTGCTTTCCCAGGCCGTTAACAGAGAGCTGGATCAGAAGAGGAGCAGCCAGGATACAAACTGGTGGCGATATGAGATGCCAGCACCTCAGGCAGAGGCTTAATCTGCCAAGCCGGGGTGCCAGTCCCCCACCTCCACTTCTGATCCAGCTTCATTCTAAGGTTTTGGGAGGCAGTGGATGGTGGTCCAAGTACGTAAGTTTCTGCTGCTCACATTGGAATCCCAGAAGGAGTTCCTGGATCCTGGCTTTGGCATGACGCAGCCCTGGCCGTTGAAGGCATTTGGGGGGTGAGCCAGCAAATGGGAGATTCTCTCTCTCTCTCTCTCTCTCTCTCTCCATCTCTCTCCTCTTGTCTCTCTGCTTTTCAAATAAACAAATATTTTAAAAGAGAGAAGATGGTAACTATCCCAAAAGATCTAGGAGTTCTGTTGAAGACAGAAACCATGTTTTATTCCTCTCTGGTCTCCAGCACCTTGAGAAGTACCTGGCACAGGTGATGCTCAGTGATCAATGGAATGAAAACACCACATTTGGTTTTTCAAAAAATAGCCTTTCACTATTGCTATTATGTGCTATTATTGTGATTTTGTAATAATATTATCATTTCCTTCTCATTTGCCTTTCATTTCCTTCTGTATTTTTAATTTTTCCCCTCTGCTTCACTCATTGAACCAAAATTAATTCTGCTCCTTCCCCGAGGAACTAGGCAAGGCACTGGGAAGGAAGATATGTTAAGATATTGCCATTGCTCTCAGATAAGCTACATTCTTATGAATAAGACTTTTTGGCTTCAATTATTTCTTGGTTCAAGATCAACTGACCATTTGAACTGAAAAATCTTCCCCCATAAATAGCCAAAAACATGTATTTCTCCTTTCCCAATTTTCCCCTCCCCTATAGTTTTAACTCTTATATAATCTTGTTTTTGAGCAAGAATGCCTTCAGCTTAGTTAGCATATAGCAAATTAAGTTTCTCTTTAATTCTTAATAAAGAAATGAGATAATATAAATATTTTAATAATAGTGAAAATTCTCTTGCCACATTTTGTGAGTGCTTTGTAGGCTTATGTCTATCTATGACACATTTAATCAAACAGCAGCATAATGTCAGCAAAAAAGGCAAATTAGCATGTCTAATTAAAATGCTATGCAGAAGCTACCTACCATAATTTAACAGTGCAGTGTTATGCCTATGTAAGTTATTTATTATACTCTTCTAGACTGTGGAATTCTAACTGCTAATATTTTTTAAAACACTGAAATAATGTAAAACTATTACTTAGACAGTATTGATAATATGAGAGAATTTGAGATTGGGAGATAAAACCCCCGCATTCTAGTTTCTATACTGGGACTATCAGAATGACTATGGGTTGGGGCCTGCATTGTGACGTAGTGGATAAAGCCACTGTCTGAAGTGCCAGCATCCCACATGGGTGCCGGTTCATATCCGCTGCTCCACTTCCAATCCAGCTCTCTGCCATGGCCTGGGAAAGCAGTAGAGGATGGCCCAAGTCCTTGGGCCCCTGTACCCACATGGGAGACCCAGAGGAAGCTCCTCACTCCTGGCTTCGGATTGGGACAACTCTGGCTGTTGTGGCCAATTTGAAAGTTAACCAGCAGATGGAAGACCTCTCTCTCTCTCTCTCTCTCTCTCTTCCTCTTCTCTGTGTAACTCTGACTTCAAATAAATAAATAAATAAATAAATCTTAAAAAAAAAAAAAAGAATGACTATGGGCAAGTCTTGCTCCCTCACCTCACACATACAGTTGTTCATCGAGCCTATTAATACTTGACTCTTTCTTCAGTTGATTATTTCCTCGATCCTTCTGTCCCACTGCTAGAGCTTTCTCATGTCTGGACCTGTGCAGCAGCATACTAACTGATCCTGCCTGTCTCCAGTCTCTCCCTACTCAAATCCATCTTACACAAACCCGATGAAGTCACATCTTTGTAAAAAAAATTTCATTTTCCTCCTCTCTAAAACCATAAAAGCCACCAAAATCTCTTTACCAATTGGGACAAAGAGTAAATTCCTTAGTTAGGCCCTTATCAGTCTGGTGCCAACTTACTTTATTGTCTACGATTTTTCTCTCTCATTTTGAATAATCATATTTTTGTTCATGTCTCTTCACCTTTTCATAAGCAGATCTCTCAACTTGGAGTGCCAACTAGAAAACTACTTTTTCTTTTATTCCTAAATCAAACATGAGCCTCTGTAAAGTCTCCCTAACTTTTCCAGACAGTCATCAACTAACTCCTCTATATTCAAACAATACTTGTGTGTGTGTGTTTGTGTGTGTGTGTGTGTATGTACCAGAGAATTTCAAAATGTTCATGAAACCAGGGAACTAAAGGGTAAATTTATTTCATCACAAAAAAGTTGTGAAATCTACACATAACTTTTCTTATAATATGCATTTTTCCATGAACTTTTTGGAAATTCCTCATATATATATGGATTTCAAAAATTTTGCAGTAAAATAAATCTATTTTAATTCCATTTTCCATGAACTTCTTGTAGTACACATAATTGTTCATATATCTATATCTATATATATATAGACACACATATATATAGTAGCTTTTAACCATTCTTCTGAAGGTTATAGGTAAGTGCTTCATATATAGTAGGCATCAATATTTACTACTGAATAAATAAATGGATAAATAGAAATTTTGCAAAGTCTCAAATTTTAACCAGCAATTTTGAAAAATTATCACAAATGATTTTAAATGTATTTTCTGCCTCCTACATTTCATGCATATTTATTGTTTTAAATTTATTTTTATTTATTTGGTAGGTAGAGAGAGAAAGAAAGAGACAGAGAGATTTCTGATCCCATGGTTCACTCCCTAAATACTCACAATGGCCAAGATGTGGAAAGACAATCCTTGTTTCCCATGTGGTAGGTAGGAGCCTAATTACTTGAGCCATCACCATAGTCTTCCTGAGTAAGCATTGGTAGGAAGCTGGAGTTAGGACCTGTACCCCAGTATTGACTTGAGAAGGTGGTCATCTTTAACACTAGGCTAAACGCCTGCCCCCACATTAATTTAAATCAGTTCAAAGATGATTTCCATCTTACAATGAAGATATTTGCCTCCCTCAACATGAGAATAATGTTATACAGTGTGACAGGGAAATAACTACATGTAAAACTAGCTGACAATAGGAATATTTGTTTCAGATCTGATCTCACAAAATATTTTGAGCATTGAAAGAAACAATGTATGTAAAATGGTTAAAATAATCCATGCACATATGTAAACACTCAGTAAGCATTAACTTTGATCATTAAAAAAAAAATACCTGGCAACTTTTTTGTGAACTCTACGAGGACCTGTACGTGACTAGTAGCCATTTCTGTTAAAATGAGAAAATTTTCTTCTGCACTGAATTCTTCTTTTAACTAAATTTTAAGAAAAAAGCACATGATTAATAAGTATATAAGAAATAAATAAATCAATATAAAATAATTACAACAAAAAATGGTTTAGGTAATAAAATTTAAAGATCCACCTTATATTTCTAAGATCTTTGGAGAGTAATTAGTATTACCAAGCTAGATGTGGGACTTCCTACTCTTTAATTGCTTAATATTGCTAAAAGTTTAAATATATAATAAATTCTCAGCTCTAAGCATTTCAAAGTAAAATATTCATATATAGATTCCATCTCCAAAGTAGTGAGAGAAAATATTAACTTTAAACCCAAGTATTTTCAGATATTATACATACAATTTTATTTGTTACTTCTTGAGGCATCCTCTGTTTGTTATACGAGTCTGTAATATAATGTAGAAGATTCTGCTGGTCTGGGGTGAGTTCAGTTTTCTCCTACACTGGCAAGAAAATAAAAGGTGTTAGGGAAGGCAGTTACAAGGCATTCTTCTTATATTGCATTTATCTGGAATGAACCAACAGCAGACATTTTTGAAAAAGACCCTAAATATGGCAGAATAGGGAATGATGTACTGCCCTAGGCTAGGGATAAATAGTAAAAAAAAAAAAAAATTGTAGGAAGGGCAGTGAGCTCTAATAACAGAGTGTAACTGCTTTCTCTGGATCCTTCAGCAAGCTTTAGCTCATTTCATTACACTTGTCCCAAGTTACTCATTTTCCTGACTGTAAAATAGGGGTTAAAATATTTATTTATTTCATGGGAATAAATAATTTTCTGGATATGAAGCCAACTGAGCTCATTCATATAGAAAGTCAGGAAAAGTTCAAGATTTGATCAAAATTAAATAACTTTTTAACATGCAAAATGAAGAATTCATCTAAGAGTATTCACATATGGCAGAGTTCAAGCAACTGTCACCCATAGACCCATCTGCTTTTTTTTTTAAAGATTTATTTATTTATTTGAAAGTCAGAATTACACATAGAAAGAAGGAGAGGCAGAAAGAGAGAGAGGTCTTCCATCTGCTGGCTCACTCCCCAGTTGGCCGCAACAGCAGGAGCAGTGCCAATCCAAAGCCAGGAGCCAGGAGTTTCCTCCAGGTCTTCCCATGGAGGTGCAGGGGCCCAAGGACCTGGGCCATCTTGTACTGCTTTCCCAGGCCATAGCAAAGAGCAGGGTCAGAAGTGGAGCAACTGAGTCTTGAACTGGTACCCATATGTGATGCCAGTACTGCAGGCATTCAGCCTTATCCACTACACCACAGCGCCGGCCCTCAACCTGCTTTTATACATAAAGTTTTAAAGGAACACAGCCACACTCGTTTGTTTATATACTGTCTGTACTACTTTTGCACTTAAATGGTAGGGTTGAATAGTTGGGATAGAGACCATATGGCCAAAGCCTAAAATACCTGGTTCTTTAAAGAAAAATGTTTGCATGTGTCTAACATCTCGGAGAGTCATCAGTCTGGACATTTCAGACCTCAAATACTTCTTTTTTCTTTAATAAGATCTTTTGAAGAGTGTGAATAGTTGTGTTAATTTTTTGTTTCCTTACAAACGAAGTATTATGGCAAAATAATGCTTTTATAAAATTATTTTTTCTGAGATGAATAAAAATAACATATTTGAAAAGCTAAATATAGATAAAATTTTCTTTGTCAATAGTACGATACATATAGAGAAGGATGTGGCTTCAACAAGTGTTCCTTTGGTTTTTCAGCCAGTGGGCAAGCTAAACTCTCCCCAAATGTCCTGTGTGTTATCACAACATGTTTACCTAATCATCCCAGATGCTGTTCTTCTGTGTTATCCTCAGCTGCTCAAAGAACTTTTTAAGAATTTTTGAACACATGGGAAGGGCTTTTTTTTTTTTTTTTTTGCTCACAGATTTATAATCACCTTGTTTTACACAGTGATCAGGACTAACCCACTTCCCCTGTTGGGTCCATATCCTTACCAGTTGTGAGCCTCCTTTCTTAATAATGATGGGAGGGGGGTGGTCATCAAAACACCATGGTGGTGGGGAGAAGATGGGCATTTGGCTTCAAAACCAGTTAAGAGGCTGAAGCCCTATATCATCCCATATTACAGTGCCTGGGTTAAAGTCCTAGCTATGCTCCTACTTCCAGTCTCCTGTCAGTGGGCACACAAGTAGGCAGCAGGTGATGGCTCAAGTACCTTGGCCCTGCCACCCACATGGGAAACCTGGATTGAGTTTCTGGGACTAACTTCAGCTTGACGCAACCCTACCTATTATGGGCATTTGAGGAACAAACCAGCAGATAAGAGCTATCTTTATCTATCTATCTATCTATCTATCTATCTATCTATCTATCTATCTATCATCTATCTATCACTGGAATAAATACAATTTTTTAAATTTCAAAATATGTAATTGGAAAAATTCATCATATACAACAAAGCATTCCCAAAGGCAGTCACCAGGTAGTAGGAATGGAATGGAGCCAGGAAGAACTTTCACTTGTATATCATATGCTGCAATTATTCAGATTTTATACTGAGGCATATGTCCCTCTCTTGATTAAAAGGCAAGGAAGGGGGCCGGCGCCGCGGCTCACTAGGCTAATCCTCCGCCTAGCGGCGCTGGCACACCGGGTTCTAGTCCCGGTCGGGGCGCCGGATTCTGTCCTGGTTGCCCCTCTTCCAGGCCAGCTCTCTGCTATGGCCAGGGAGTGCAGTGGAGGATGGCCCAAGTGCTTGGGCCCTGCACCCATGGGAGACCAGGAAAAAGCACCTGGCTCCTGGCTCCTGCCATCGGATCAGCGGCCATTGGAGGGTGAACCAACGGCAAAGGAAGACGTTTCTCTCTGTCTCTCTCTCACTGTCCACTCTGCCTGTCAAAAAAAAAAAAAAAAAAAAAAAAAAAAAAAAAAGGCAAGGAAGGAATCATCTGTTGTGCACAATTGAAATGGAAATTACACAGTGACCTTGGCTCTCATGTGAAAGACGCCTGGCCAGATCTCTAGGTTCCTAGAAGCTCAGCTCCTGCTGGCTGTGGCCAACACGTGTCACCACCCATTGCATGTTATTACCCTGCATGACTTCGTTGTCGACGTCACTTGTCGCAAGTCCGGTCCTTCGCTGTCATCATTAGTGGTCTGATCTGTGTGCTGCTTCACATTTTTTCTCAGTCTTTTCGATTTACACTGAATTTCAGTTAACAAGCCTGAAAAACAAACACAGAGACTTCACCAACCACAGAAAGTACTGCTGTGTGTGTGTGTGTGTGTGTGTGTGTGTGTATGAACAGCTGATGTGTAGCAAGTTCAGAAAACCCCTTGTGCAATTTGGCACAAAACTAATTCTAGTGCTTCTGACATTTAAAAAAACGAGAAAGTCAAGGTTTAATTCTTGACTGTGAATAAGAAGTGTAACCTCTGTGATCTCAGTATCTTCATTTGTAGAATGGAGATTGCTACCTCATTGAGTTTTGTAAAGATTAAATATAATCTGATAATTTTTCTAAAAATGACATTTATGTAAAGAATCAGTGATACTATAGTATTATTGCAAAAGCAAGGTATTCCATCAATAAAAGGATGAATACCACTCTTCCAATCTTGGTTTAGAAGGCCTTGAAAGATGGTGTTTCAGAATATGGCATTAATGGGATTTTCACCCATGTTTACATACTGTGCCATCAGATGTATATTCAAATTCACAGAAAATACATAATTAAACTTACTGAGTAAAAAAATTATTAGATTCTTTTAGGAAACATTTTTAAATGTTACTTGTCAGAGTTACATAGACTATTGAGAATATATAGTTAAAGATGTAAAGAACTCAAGATGATTTTGAAAATTCTTTTGGACAAACAATAGTAGCATTGATTTACACTTAAACAGAGCTATTGCAAATAATGTAGAATAATATTCCATATTCCAATTAAATTTCCTTATTCCTTCAATGTTAATGACACAAAATTCCACAAATTTCTTTGTGCAGAGAATTTATTTCATAGAATTGCAAAAGATCTTCATCTTTCTCCTGAATGGGTTTGTGTGTATAAATAATATTCTCTACTTTTACAGGTGAGCCTATGCCAAATGCCCCCAGAGCTTCAGTTGGAACAAGTTCATATTTAAGTGATGAGCAACATGAACCAGCAGGATCAAAGTGTTTCCAGTGTGAGATAGGATACCAGCACTAGCCCCTGTGGCTGGCTCTTGTTTCATGTCTGCTAAAATGAGACTGTGATCGGCCACTATAAAACTTTCATCCAAAGAGCTGGATTATTTACACAGATCTGTTTTTTCTCCCTTCTGCATGCATTATTTCTCTGGGTCCATCCCAGTTTGCTTGTACAGTTTGGGAACAATAGGACTGGAGTCATCTTCCAAAGGCTTTTGTTTCCTGCGGCATTCCCTCCCTGAATGCTATCATCCCCTTGGAGACTTTTGTTTGTCTATTTGTGTTTTGAGGAGGAAGAGGACAGATCGCAAAATCTGAGCAGTCTGTAGAATTTGCAGATTGAAAAATTAATTATGTTATATACTAGCATGCATTCCAGTTTTTTAGGTAGGTTATGATTCCTCACAGAGTTAGCAGTTCATACAGTGTCTCTTTATCAGATTGAAGGACAAAATTATATTAAAACTCAGAGTAGTTAATTTCCTGTGTAAAGCTATACAAATTTGTTCAAACCTGCTCTAGGAGAAGATGAATTCTTAATGAGTCAGTTTAAAACTCTATTTAGACAGTGCAGAGGCAGTTAGACCTTATAAAACGTTCTTATTTTTCTCCACAACTGTGGATCATTGTGTTAATAACACAATAAATAAGAAATATATTAAAATCAAATTTTGAGGAAACTTTTAGATTATCATCTCTAAGCTCGTGAAAGTATGTTACTTAACTGTGTGGTGGTGCCACTTCACTACCATGCAACAAAGAACAATAAAAAATAGCTGTTTCTTTCAGCCAAATCCCATGCTCTTGGGCTGACAGTCTAGACAATGTCAGTTGGCCAGGTAGATCTCTTCTTTAATGCAAGAAGTACCCCCTCTCTGATAGGAGTTATCTGACATCTGCCTTTTTAAGAGATTTTTAGTTAAAGATTTTAGAGAATTTAGTTGCTTGAAGTGAATACCTGTATACATACATTCAGCCAACATTCCCATCTCCTTGCATTTCCTTAGTCGACATTCTTGGCACTTCCTTCGCATGTACATATCCATCACACAGTTGCCCCCATTTTTACACTTGTACACTGCATTTTTAGTAATGCTTCTCCTGAAGAAACCTGTGGAGGAAACACTGAAAGTGTAATAAGGTCCTAAGTTCTAAAGACTTCTCAGAAAAACACAACATGCTTGGATTGAGCGATGTCAGATCATTTCTCTACTGAACTGCTGGAGAGTGTCTAGTCACTCCTTGGGTATAGCAGTAACAAATGGTACTTCGAATTATATTGCATGATCGAGAAGGCTACTGCATACATCTCTCAAAACTAAAAAGTCAAATTTGAATTATGGTCCTTCTTAAGAAAAATTTTGGTTTGACTTTTAAGTTATACCATTTTCATATACCTTTATTGGGGGACAATTATGTGGCAATGAGTGCTAGATGCTGGTGCTATGAGGTTGAATTATTCTTTCCTGTCCTCCCAGAGTTTAAAAGTTGGTTGACAGCAAATATATGCAAATAACGAACCAAGTGAAATTAAAAGTTGCATGAGTTTTTTTTTTTAAAGATTCATTATTTGAAAGGCACAGTGACATAGAGAAGAGAGATAGAGAGAGAAAGATTTGCCATTCTCTGGTTCACCCCCCCCCCCCAAGTGGCCACAACAGCCAGAGCTGGAACTGGGCCAGACTGAAGCTAGAAGCCAAGAACTCCATCTGGGTCTCCCACATGGATGGCAGGAATTCAAGTACTTAGGTTGTCTTCTGTTGCCTCCCAAGTGCATTATGGAGAAACTGGATTGAAAGGAAGGCAAGAACCAACCCCGCTGGCCGCGGCTCAACAGGCTAATGTTCCGCCTGCGGTGCCGGCACACCAGGTTCTAGTCCCAGTCGGGGCACTGGATTCTGTCCCAGTTGCTCCTCTTCCAGGCCAGCTCTCTGCTGTGGCCCGGGAGTGCAGTGGAGGATGGCCCAAGTTCTTGGGCCCTGCACCCGCATGGGAGACCAGGAGAAGCACCTGGCTCCTGGCTTTGAATCAGCACCATGTGCCGGCTGCAGCAGCCAGTTGGGGGTGAACCAACAGAAAGGGAAGACCTGTCTCTCTCTCTCACTGTCCACTCTGCCTGTCAAAAAAAAAAAAAAATTAAAAAATAAAAATTAAAAAAAATCAACCCCAAGCACTCAGATGTGGGATGCGGACATGACAAAATGTGGCTTAACCCATTGCACCAAATGCTCTGCTCTACATGAGTTACCATGGGAGGCTGTTATGGGGTAGAACAGACATAGAGAATGGTCCGTTTTGGATAAAAGGTCAGGAAACGAGGTGAACACTGAGCCAAGTCTTGGAAAGTTTGTTGCTGTTTGGGGCATTTGGGGACAAACTCACATTCAAGGTTATTTAGTGCTTAATATGACAGCCTAGTGTAATAATAAAAATGCCCATCTTGATTTAAAAGTGAACACAAACAAGGGTCCTGCAGTCTGTGAAGGAACGTGACTGGCATCCTTTCTCGTTTTCCCTCTTCCCATGTCTCAGTCCCACTTCTACTCTTTCTCCTGTAGCAGGATAACCATATTTCCCAACACTTCTAGAGGCAAGGGGGGTGAGGAATAGGGAGAGGATTGTGAGAGCCAAGGGAAGAACGGACAGGGAAGCACTTATTTGACAATTATAACACTCCCCTTATTATCCATAGTTTCACATTCCTGTTTCAGTGACTGAGGTCAACTGCACATGTCCTATATTGCAGAACCTGGGTTTAAGGCCCAACTCCAGCACCTGGCAAATGATTGGGTTCTTGCCATCCATGTGGGAGACCTGAACTGAATTTCTGACTTCAGATTCAGCCAAGATATGGGCTAGTGGATATGAGTTCTCTTTCTTACTCTTTCTTTATCTATCTATCTATCTACCTACCTACCTACTTACCTCTCATCTCTCCCTCCTTCTCAGATACATAAAATAAAATGAAAAAATTATTTAAAAATTCCAAAAATAAATAATTCAAGAAGCTTGAAATTATATTCTGAATAAGGTGATGAAATCTCATACCATCCTGCTCTGTCCCATTAGGAACTGATACATCCCTTTTTCCTGTTGTATCCAGTCTGCATACCCTGCCTACCTCATGTGTTTGAGAGAAAGAGACCACAGTCACACACAATTTTGATTACAGTGTATTATTATAATTGTTCTATGTTGTTAGTTATTGTTAATCTCTTACTCTATCTAATTTATAAATAAACTTTATCATAGGCATATATATAAAGGAAAAAATCAGTACTATCTATAGCTTCAGGCATCCACTGGGGAGGAGGCTCTTAGAACATAATCCCCATGGATAAGAGGGGACCATGGTATTGCCATTAGCTGTGCTTGGCAAGATTTCAAAGTTGATTCTTTTCCTCTTGTCTTAAATTCTTTAGAGAACTCCTCCTATCATTGGGAGACTTTCATCTGCACTTCCTTGATGAGAGCGAATACAGCCTTATGCTAGCCCATGGTGTGTTGTGTAATTCCTTCTTCAACATCTAGGAATGTGGAAATTCGCACCACACTCTGTACATGGAGATCTCTTCAGGTGACCTCTAGGCATGGCCTTAAGATAATTCCATGCTGGCTTTATCTGGTTCAAAAAACACCAGGATCATAAAAATCTCTCCTTCATATCCATAAGCAGTTGGCCACCTTACCTCTGCCTTTCAATTATCTTCATACCTCTGACAAAATTAAGATCATGAGTCCTTCCTATTTTAAGAATGATAAAACAATATTTAATATTTATTAAGCACTTACTAGCTATGATTCTAAACCATTACATCCATTTAGTTGTTTAATTCCTATCAATTTTTTGTGATGAAGATGATATAACATGTCTCAATAGTACAGATGAATAATAAAAGGTACAAAGAAGTTAAGATACTGGGCTATGATCACATGGTTAATAAGTAACCTAGGAGAGTTTAAACCCAGGCATTCATGCACTGAAGCCTGTACTCTTTAATTGCTATCCTACAATTGCTTCCATTAGGTCACAAGTGAGTAAAAATACTTAATACTAAGTATCTACTATCTGAAAATTGCATTATCTGACTTGGAAGATCTAAAGATCAATAAAACATTTCTTATCTTCAGAGCTTCCAACTTAGTAGGAAGACAAAGAAGAGTAAATTCACAGTATACTTCAAGATAGTTAGACAGAATAGCCAAATAAGTTTAAATTTCAGGATCACAAAATATGTTTGCAAATGTAATGTCACATTTTGGGGGAGGGGCAGCAGTGGCATTGAAGACAGGAAGATTAGCATATTTATTATGACAATTTTCTAGCAGAAGGCAAAAAAACTATCCAAAAAAGTGAGTATAATTTGATGATTTCCCAACAGCAAGAAGTCATGAATCTTGAGGATAAAGCATTACATGGGCTGGGAGTGACCCTGATTAATTCAGAGTAGGAGACTCACAGAGTGTTCTATGAAGGAAGCAGAATTTAAGCATGACCTTGGACAAACAGTAGGAAGACATACTGGGAAATGAGCAAAGGCAATGGATTATGGAAGTTCCAAGGAAGGGTGGATAATCCATGTTGGTAGGATGGTAGAGAAAGGTATGTAATGGCAACAGGCTGTGATTTAATGCTTTTGGGCATCAAGTAAAGGAGCTGAGCCTTTACCATGTAGAAAGGAAGAAGCCATTCAAAGATTCTGGCAGAGAAGTTGTGACCTAACATGCACCTTAGGAAGAAACACTGGAGCAAAATCAAGAAAGGTGACATAGGAGATTGGATGCAAAAGACCACACCTCAATATAGCTGACAAATGACCAATGCCTGAATTAGACCAGGAGAGAACAGGGGAAGAAGTGAGGAAAACATTCAGACCTTGGTAACTTGCTAAACATGAAGACATAGGCTAAAGTAAAAATTAAAGATGTTAAGGTCAACGAAGTCATGATGTTGCTTGCAAATTTGTCAGCTGGCATACATTTCAGTAGGAAAAATCTACACATTTTCTAAATGTCTAGACAAATAAAGTCTAAAAAAAGACTTCATACTTCAGATCAGTGTTGATGTTGAAGAGTGTAAATACCAGAGTGTGCATTTTAAAAGAGATTAAAAGTGAAAAGAGAACTTCTTTTTCCTGGTACCAAATCATGAACTCAATGAACACATTAGCCTTCATGAATCAAGCCTTCTTAGTAATCTCTAGCACCTCCCAGAAATGATTCCCTTTCAAAGTGCCACAGACACTGATAGACAGCTCAATAGTTAATAGAATAAAACTGCTTATTCCAAGATGAATTGAAGAACTGTGCATAGAACAATTGTGCAGCCTTTTTTAAAATACTCTGGTATTAACTGAAAAAGAAATCATTATCATTTCAATGGCTGAATTAATTAGCTTTCATTCTGAGATGGCAACACAATATTATCATTACATCGTTTAAACAGGGGTACATATACTGTATTTATATTTATGCAAATCTATCCATACACCCACCTCTGCCTCTATCTTGCTCTTTCTTGCACATATTCAACAATGCTCATATCAGAAAAGCCATTTGAAAAGAAATGGAAAGGAAATTCACTGAGGAACAGAGCCTTACTGATAATAAAACATGAATAGACAGGGTTGGCACTGCCGTCTGGAGAATGCGTAGCAGGAGGAGGGATCCTTAGGTGGCAGGCAAATAGCTGTAGGATGGTATTATAGAGATCCCTCAATTCTGTAGAGTATTTCCTACCTACTTTTCTACTTCTTTATAAAGGTAGAGCTCATGATACACCCTATTCCCAAATCATATACACATCCATGTATACACACAAGCTCATACCAGACTCCAGTGAGGGACACTGGTACCTTGCCCTGAACCCTAACATATTATTTTAAAACTTTTTATGGTCTACAAGCTTTTTAAGCAGTAACACACAGAGCTGAGTAATCAGAGACTTTACATCCAATCTGACTTAAACAAAGACAGCTTTTATCTTGTGCCAGGCACTTTTCTAAACACTTTACATAGGGTAACACATTTAATATTCAAAATAATCCAGTGGAATAGATACTATTATCATCTCCCTTTCCTGGAAAAGGAGAGTAAGTCTTTTTGGGGTTA